TTATATTGTTAATTAGCTGACTTTATATTGTTAATTAGCTGACTTTATATTGTTAATACCTGACTTATATTGTTACTACCTGACTTTATATTGTTAAATACCTGACTTTATATTGTTAATTAGCTGACTTTATGTTGTTAATTAGCTGACTTTATATTGTTAATTAGCTGACTTTATATTGTTAATACCTGACTATATTTTTGAATAGGTGATTTTATATTCCTAATTACCTGACTTTATATTGTTGAATACCTGACTTTATATTGTTAAATACCAGACTTTATATTGTTAAATACCAGACTTTATACTGTTAAATACCTGACTTTATATTGTTAAATACCTCACTTTATATGGTTAAATACCAGACTTTATATCATTAAATACCAGACTTTATATCATTAAATACTAGACTTTATATTGTTAAATACCAGACTTTATATTGTTAATTATCTGACTTTATATTGTTAATACCTGACTATGTTTTTGAATACCTGACTTTATATTGTTAAATACCTGACTTTATATTGTTGAATAGCTGACTTTATATTGTTAAATACTTGACTTTATATTGACATCTTTTTTGGCACAGGCTGAAACTTATATAAACGAGTCATCCCATTTCCCACCATTTCTCGGTTTGCTGTACAGTTATTTAATTTTAATATTTCTATACACACTGCTAATTGTTTTCATTTTGACTGAAACAATGCATGCATTGTTTAACATTTTTTTCAATAGTGGCCTTCTCATTGGATATCTGGTTTTCTTTGAATTGGATAAGACAAATGGTCAGTTGCCATGGTTTAAGTACTATTTTCATAGATTTTGGAGGTAAGATGTTACACACATACACACACGAGCTTGCATACAGTGCGAAATGGTCACACTCATCTATGCAATTGTTCAAGAATTTTTTCCTAAAAAAAAATTATTATTATATGTTCAACTGTGATCTACTAATTGCAACTACTATGACAATTAAAAAAAAATGGTGCAACACCCTGAATACGCCACAATGTATGGCATGATGGAATAGTCAAAAATACAAAAAGCATTAAGGTAGAAGCCTATTCATGATTTTAAATACCCAGAATGATTCCTTTTTCAATAAATTGTACTTCTGGGCAATATAAGAATATTGAAGTAAAAAAATTTGAGGGGTCACCAGGTTAATTTTCTAGAAAATCATGGTTGTATTTTAGTGGATAGTGGCTATTTTGGGCAATATTATAGTCTGTGCTTTTATCATATGTTTTATCATGGAAGAAATATTATGCCATAACTCAAATTATAGACTGCTGACATATTGTTAATAATGGGGTATGTTTTGTTTTCCTTAATTTTTTAAAAAATCTGGGTTTTAAAAAGAGTTAAAAAATGTAATTTTTGTTTAAAATTGCGCTCTATGGAATTGTTCTGAAAATAGATATTTTTGAAAATTATTAGGACAAGTTCCTCAACACGCATACAAGTGCTATTTTATGGTGCCATGGGACAATTTTATTGTCACCAAATCTAGCAGTGTAAGGGTGAAAATAACATCCAAATATAAATTTAATTTTTTAATCATAATTTGTTCTTGTATTTAACCAGGTTGACACCAGTCTTGATGTTTACCATGTTATTTTATATGTATGCTGAGCCCTGGCTGGGTCAAGGGCCTGTCTGGTATTCCATAACAAATAAAAAAATGTGTGAAGATTACTGGTGGACTAATATTTTGTATATTAATAATTTTTATCCAGTTAATAACATTCAAGGGGTAAGACAATATTTTTCATTTTGTTTTAAGGTTGAATGCAATCCAATATACAAATAATATAGTCCGAAATGGCGACTTTGGGGTTGGGGATGTTTTTAAGTTCCAATCGGTCATCATTTCTCAGAAATTCCTGAATGGATTTTGTAACAGGATACATATTAATGTCAAATATTTTTTATTTCACTCATTTTGATCAGCTGGTAGCCATTTTTGTCCCAAAAGACACCTAAAATCGTTATTTGAATATGTCATCATCCGTTTCTCAGGCATGACTGATTTCATTTAAACTTAATATCTGATTTGAATTAGCCATTTTGTTTTTCTAGTGTTCTGCCAGTTCTCAGAGTTGTTTTTACAGATTTGGCTTAGATTCTGTAAAAAATTTGTTAAAAGATTCTTTGAGTTATTATTTGATTTTGCTAAAATTTAGCCAACCGGTGGCCTTTTTCATCAAAAAACAATAAAATCACCAAATTTGAAAAAGTTATCAACTGTTTTTCAGGCAGGCATGTGCTGATTTTATTCAAACTTAGTATGAACGTCGGAAATGTTGTCAGAACTACTTTCTGATTGTAAACAAAAAGCAGTTGTAAAAGTGTTGTAATAAAGTTGGATGTGTTGCTACTGTGGCCGATGTACAATGTAAGGGAAAGGATGCTGTGATACCATGACCAGTATCAACTCACTTTATTTATTATGAATAAAATGAATATACATGTATAATCAATGAAATCCTACCATAAACTTGGTCAAGCAACATCAGTGTGAAAATAACACAAAATATTTACTTTTAAACAGGACGTATTACAAAAATATAATGATATATCCATATGAATAATCCATGCATGTGATGTCATCTTGGACTTTGCAACTTTCCGTATAGATCTTATCTTTTTTTGCCTGTGACTCAGGGTTGTACATCGGCTATACGGCCGGTCATTGCAATGTATTGTTTCGTATTGCATCATATTGTATTAGATTGTATTTTTTTCTACACTTTGTCTATTTGCAGTGTATTCCATGGGTATGGTATCTTGCTAATGATATGCAGTTTCACTGGATTAGTCCTCTCATCATCCTTCCAATGTACAAGTTAGTATTATTTTCCAATTGAATCGCTCAGTGGTTTAGGTATTCTCTTATTCATTGTGATGTTTACTTCACAGATTACTGTTAGTAGTGTTTACCTCACTGGATGAGATGTGCACATCAGATTTACTGTTAGTAGTGTTTACCTCACTGGATGAGATGTTCACATCAGATTTACAGTTAGTAGTGTTTACCTCACTGGATGAGATGTTCACATCAGATTTACTGTTAGTAGCGTTTACCTCGCTGGATGAGATGTTCACATCAGATTTACTGTTAGTAGTGTTTACCTCACTGGATGAGATGTTTACATCAGATTTACCTCACTGGATGAGATGTTCACATCAGATTTACAGTTAGTAGTGTTTACCTCACTGGATGAGATGTTCACATCAGATTTACTGTTAGTAGTGTTTACCTGACTGGATGAGATGTGCACATCAGATTTACTGTTAGTAGTGTTTACCTCGCTGGATGAGATGTTCACATCAGATTTACTGTTAGTAGTGTTTACCTCACTGGATGAGATGTTCACATCAGATTTACTGTTAGTAGTGTTTAGCTCACTGGATGAGATGTTCACATCAGATTTACTGTTAGTAGTGTTTACCTCACTGGATGAGATGTTCATATCAGATTTACTGTTAGTAGTGTTTACCTCACTGGATGAGATGTTCACATCAGATTTACAGTTAGTAGTGTT